CTGACAAAAAGAAGAAAGACTGGGTATGGGGCTAGCAGTCACCCCCATCCCCCAAAAAACACCATTGCCACTGAAACTTCAGAACTCAGTCTTCAAGCCCTATGTTCCACTTGAAAAGCCAAGGAATAGAAACAAATTAATCGTAGCTCATTGTTCATTGCTGCATGGTTTTAGAAAATGTATCATAAATTAATGAGAAGTTGTGATTGAAGGTATTAACCAAGTCCGTTTTATAACCAAATACTCCCTGAAAACACTGAAATGCAGGGGCGTACCATATTCCGAACCGATAAGTGTTTTGTAACTGCAGTCTGTAGGATTTTAAATTAGTTGTTGAGGGACAATACGTTGACCGCAAGATTTGGCGGTTTCCAGTCTGATTTTAAGTGTGGTAGGGAATCTGAGTTAGTGAAATTTCAAAAGGAAGCGAGCCAGATATGTACAATGTAACCTTGTATCTGTTAATTCACTAACTAGTGTCATATTCGTTGTAAGACATCAAGTTACCTCCACCTTTATAGATGATATGGTATGGCCGGAGTTGGATCCTTCTTTCGAAATCCTTCCATGTGACCAAGCGTTCACTGCCTCCATGAAGCCTGGGTGTTCTTCACAGAGACAGGAGGGAGAATGCGGACGTCTGGCGTTTACAACCCAACTAATGGACATGCTGGTCTATCTAAGGGTGCTGAAAAACACTGATTCCAATGTTATCGCTTACACGGGTACCAGAATCTGAAAGGGTCAAATGGTGTATGAACCAGTTCTGGCCACTGGAAACCATAGGAAAGTAGGTCCCGACGCTGCCCCATGGTCTTGTGGATCAGATTTCAAGTCAGAGGCCCGAGGATGGAGATTGTGGCCCTCGTAATAACCACTCGCTTTGGTAGTATCTCAGCTCTCTCACAAATTAGGAGATTTTGTATGGAACATCTCTTGCTACCCATAAAACACCTCATTTATGATAGAAACAACAACAATAACAATAATTTTTTGTCTTCACGAATGGGTCTTAAGAGCCTTATTAGGAACTACACTTCATGTCGGTATCAGATATTCTACTTGTGTTAAATTTGGCATGCAAAAAAAGAATACCATCTCACATTAACCAAAATAAAATTTAGAAAAATTACCTCCGATGTATTTATAAATAGTGTATAGCAAAATGTGGTATGCCGCTAGATATTTGTTTTGCCACGAGGCTATAAATATTCATCTTATAAGAATAAAATGCACAATCAATAAACAATAGGCGTAATGAGACAATCGATATCTTTTTGTAATATAATTCACGTCTGATTGGTTCAGAAATATCTGACTTTAACAATGAATGCCAGTTAATTAAGCTATACACTCATGAGTCATTCTTTACTGAACACAATTTGTACTGAACATCCATTTTGTGCACTCAGAAAATAAAATTGTATTATGTTGCTTGTGTGAATGTGTTGAAGACTTATCATTATTATTATTATTATTAGCACTACCGATTATCAAATAGAAGGTATAATTTAGGCAAATGAAATGAGTCACTCTTAGAATCAAACACAAAAAGAACTGAATAAAAACACTGTCCAACCAAATACCCACAATAAAGTCCGAGATTTGTTCCAACTTTAATCCCGGTTTGATGTCATTTAAAGAACCACCGAAAATCATTATGTATTGGATAGCTGTTTTGTCCTCGCTTGGGACTCTTCAGTAGTACCTAGTTGTTACCAAATCAACGATCGAACCCAGGACTTTCCAGTAACAAGGCGAGCCCATCAGATCGCAATTTCTATCGCTACCGCCAGCCAATGTCATCAGAGGGTATCTGTCCTCACGCCCAACATGATGAGAAAGTCGTGACCAGTGGGGTCCGTTCACTAAGTCGACTGAGAGGATAAATACTCGCCGACGACACTGTCTGGCGGTAACGAGAAAAATTGTAAACTGACAGAAGTTAAAATTCACATATGGGCTATTCATTTCCATCCCACTGGCTGAATGGTCTACGATCTTGCCTTATGACTGGAAGGTCCCGGGTTCGAACCCCACGGGATGAGTACTGCTATCGGAGACTCGTTGATTTTCAATGAATTTTTTAACTAATATCGGTCCGTGATCAAACCTCAGATAAATCAAATTCCTACAAACTAACTCTTGAAAATCCGGGATATTTACATACATGCAATTCAACTGAAATTTAGTAAAGACCCGTATACAATTTACACGCTCCGTCCTCAGTACTTTCCTTCATTTTGAATCTAGAGGTCTAGACCTTAGTGGAATGCTATACTGGTTAATTCTGTGAGCAAGTTCATTCTTATGAGAAGTTAAAACCCCTCATATCAAATATTAGTGCTTCCTGAAAAGTTTGAAGTGATCTGAACACAGGGCTACCTTTTCGCTCATTTACAGCTAAACTTATCAGTAGTGTACTCGGTTCACCTTGACACAGAGAGCCCAGTCATCAGAAATCACGAGAATTCTGGCTTCCTACTTGGGCGAACTAGTAATACATAAAATCAAATTTGTGATTTTCAAATTCCAAAATATCAAGAGGAAAATCACAACAGTTTCCTTCGGAAACCAAAAAATATTCCGATCATAGTATATGTAATTTTTTTGATACCACAAATAACTAACAAGATAGCAGTTATCGATGATAGTTGGAGATCACTCATATCAATCAATCGGTAGTATGCAGCGTCATACTATTTAGCTTAGTCTCCTCATTACCGTTTATCGTGTTAAACAGATCACTTATGTTCAAGTGTTGGTTTGTAGGGATTTGACTGATTGGTTGCGGGATTTCATCGTGAGCTGACATCGGTTAGGGAACCACTGATAAGCCAGCAGGGAGTAGTGGACAGCTGTTTCGTCCTAATTTGGGACTCGTCAGGAGTGTGCACCCAACGGGATTCGAACCCAGGACCTTCTCGTTACAAGGCAAGCTTGTAGACCATTAAGCCACTGGGACCCAATCCAATAGCCCATGAATTCCAACTGCTGCCAATTCAAAATATGAGGCCACCAGATCACTTATGTATTGTGATCTGAAAAAAAGCTTTGGTGATCTTTCCCCTCAAACTTTGTTATTTGTAAATGATGAATTTGATTCTTACAAACGTTCCTTTTGATATTTCTGTATAGTGCTAACAACAGGATGATAAATGGCACAAATTATTTTATTTCAATATACAACTTACAAAAACGCACACTGACTTATGAGTGAACTATTATTGTGATGACTCAAATCAATTCGGTATCACCTGTCTGTTTTCATATGAACTCAAAGATTTAGAATAAATTAAAAATTCACATCACATGATTAGTAATCCAGAAGGGATTGTTTCCTGAGTAACTACTCTGCGTCAGTGATATCAGTGTTTTCTCCTCTGAAGCAGTCAGTCAGTTCAGTCATATATAGCCTTGGAACTAAATTGCACTGGTTTAATGCTTAATCGGTTAATCACGAGTACATATTACGGAGTATTACGCAATACAATATGTCTAAAACAGTGCATAGTGTATACTGAATAGGTTCATAGATTTTAATTTAAGTGAAACTCATCGCCTCTATGACTTTCACAAAAAGATGTTTCTCTAGGTTAAGGCATTAGTTTGATAAATAGATTTCATTCACTGGTAAAGAATAAGAAGAAATTTTGTTTTAGAAATCTGCATAAGTGAAAAAAAATTCATGAAGTTCTAGATGTTTGAAGTAATCACAGTTGAAGTATGTAATGATAGAAGTTGGCAGATAGTTCATCTTTTTATCAGCAGCATGAAGCTTTCCATATTAAATAGGTTAATTTGATGTAATGATTCACAGCATGATATAGTACTATTAATAACGTTTCTGATACAATTTATCGCTACTCATAATAAATATCAGTTTAGTCATACGACTTCATAATTTGCTTTATATACTTTTAGCTTCCTCTGTATTTATCAGAATTTTTCAAGTATCTGATATATGGGTATTGTATTAGTTTAACTCTACTTGTTTAGTGTTGATTCGATGAACAGAGGCACGGAGATTAACCTCTATCTACAACTCATTATTTCACTTTTTATCACTTTTGCCCTATTCAAAACTAGGATGAAACGGCTGTCTAGTATTTCCTGGTTCTCTAAATGATGTCAGCTCCTTATCGAACACGAAACAAGTCAAATTCTTACATATTAACTCTTCAAAAACGTACAGTTAAAAGTGAAACAACGTCTATGCCAGATATCTGAGAAATTCCAAAATGAAAAACGCCAGGAAATGGAAGTATATAAAGGAAATTATGAAGTTGTGTGAATACATTGATATAATTATGAGAAGCAATAAATTCTGTAGGGTATTTCATTCACTTATTAACACTACTGTATTGCTGTATGTACATGTGTTTGTGTCATATCAAATAAACTCATGCAGTATGGATTTATATTCTACCACAGTGCTCTAATTCTACTGCTGTTGACAAACTGTTATTAATACAAATTAAAAAATGTTAACATAGAAAACGAGCATTTTGATCTAACATAGTTAATCAATGAGAAATACAAATTAACCCAAAAACAAAAGAGGTGGCTGTCGTTTCCTTCGGGGCTTAGTAGTAGATAATCCTCTGGCGTTCGAAACGATGAAAGCGAAATGACTATCACCCAGTGGGAGTGCAGTCACAACAAGCTGACCGGTATTAAATAGTACGAAATGCGTAGCTTTCATTTCCCTGTTGTTCAACACCTGGCCGTGATTCAGGGTTTGATTACCCGAGATGTACTCCGCTCGACCTTGCTTAGCCTTTAGAAAGCCCAGTAAAGAGGGAGTTCTGGATGTGAGTCAAGCGACTGGAAAAAATAAACACTACTGCTTCTGAAACTTCAAAGCTCAAGCATGAAACCCTGTGTCCCATTTGGAACTCAAAGGAATAAAAAATAATAATAAATTTATAAATTGTAATATTTGTGAAAATCAACCCACCAATATCAATACATTATCTTAGAATTTTCGAGGAACTCACCAAGCAAAATTCAAATTGAAGCTTGTAATTTTCATTTATGTATGACGTTTCCTTTTGTACCCAAGTGCTTTAGATACTATAACGATGAATACAACTGCAGTTGTCAGAATCCCATACATAATAATCAAGGAAAGGCCAACGTGCATTCCAATGTTGAACTCGTTTCTATCATAACGTATATACTTATCAGGATTTGCGAGGCCTTGTTCCAGAGTTACCATTTGAACAAATGGTAGAAAGACTAGGAAACTTGCCAGTACAACATTTCCATAATTCAACATTTTTGTTTCTTAAATGAGAAGATAGCTTTGAGAACACAAGTGTACCAAATATGTATGAATACAAGAAAAAATAACACAGATTTGCGCAAATTTTAATTTGATCTTGTTCAAATTTGTTTTTTATTTATAGATTGAGGGACCAATCAGAAAGTTCCTTGGGGTTATTTGATTCTGATTGGTTAATCACTGGTGATTTATTATTCCTTTACAGAAATAAACATATTCAGTCAATTAAATGCTTTCACTAAAGCAACATCTAATGATGTTAAAGACATGTAGTTAAAAGACATGCAGCTGACATTTGATCATGTGGCACGATATTTCAGATTTGTAAATTTTATTTCAAAAAAGAGAGAATTGTGTAATTTATTCTAGATGTCTATTGGTCAATTAACTGACTGAACATTGTCGTTATCACTTGTGACGGAAGATCACTGGTTGTACATGCGTAGTGTTATGCATTTATTATTTGTCATTATTTTGTTCCTCGTAGTCCTGAATGGAAAACAGGGCTTCAAGTTTTGGAATTCCAGTGGCGCTTGTGTTGTTCTTACGGGGTGGAGTTGACAGCGTCACGCATGCAAACTTCCCTCTTCTTCAGGCTTAATCCTCAATAGACAAGGTTAAACAGAGTGCACCGGCAGGGAGCTGAACCATAACCGCGAGCGTGGCTGGTGGGTATTCTACCGTTAAACAACCAACGCACAGATGACTTTAGTTAGAAGTAATTCTTCTGAGAAAAATATCAAGCTCCCACACCCAACTAAAACATACATCAGAATGATAAAGCCAATAAATGCTACCCGAGAACTAACATCATGTCAGAAGTAATTAAGGAAAAATGAAAACATGTAAAAACAGAAACAGACATAGAAGAGTTTGTCTGCCTGTTTAAGTTTTTAAGTCATCTGGTTTTCTCCTGATAATAATGATGCATTGAGTTTACTGCGCTTTCTATTGTTCGTATAATTCAATGCGCGGTTCAGTAGTAAGTTTTTATGACCACTGAGATGCATTGAACAGTATTTTGATTTCAAGCTTGATCACCAAAGTTTTTTTAAAATTGAATTTTAGATTTTCCCGTCGATTGATTGGACCGAAGTGCTGGGTCTCAGGTTGACATGTCGGCTTCTTGAGCAGATGCTTCGACGATGTCTGGGCATTTAATTAGTATTTAATTGATGAATGGTGACTAGCAGTGGAATCCAGGATACGCATTTCGCCCTATTCGGGACTCGTCACTGGATGTACCTGCATTTCTGAGTGAGTGATGATGCCCTGTATCCACCAGATGTTTGGAAATTGCATTCTGTGAATATCTATTTCTGTTTAGGAGTAAATTCCTTGAAACATCCTCAGAAAACCAGACAGAAGCCCTTTTTCTGTCTATCTGTGGATTGTAAACCAGTTTTGAACGAGCTCTTAAGAATAAGTTAACCATTGAGCTAACTTTTAACATAGTGACTTAATCATTAACAACACAGGTTGCACAGCTTCAATAGACTTATGACATTTTTTAAGTCAATGATTGAAGGGAGACGTCCGCCTTCCGACTTGAGTTAATTACACTTCCCATCGTCTATCGGCTTCTTCATAAAAACTTCACTGTGACATTTTTTCAAATGTCGTTGTGCATCCTTTTTAAGATATTTCCACTTTTGATTTTTCTCGATCGTTAAGGACTGTTAGAGTTTTATGTGCAATATCATTCTGGTTCATTTCAACAGCACCAAAGCGTTTATTAGGCTTTTGTCTTCATCCAGATATTGTAAGTCAGAGGGTTGATGACACAAGTCTCCGGGCGTATTCTACTGATCCTCTTCTTGTGAATATGAAACTTGAATCCCAGAAGCAAAGCCTCGAATTCAATTTTGTCTAAGTTTAATTTGGACAGACTGTTTATTTTTACGGGTTGATCACGGATCAATATCATTTAGAGAAACATAGAAAACTAGGGAGTACTGGACAGCTGTTTCATCCCAGTTTGGAAATCATCGGCAGTACGCACCCACTTCCAGGGTTCGAACCCATGATCTTCCGGTTATAAGGCAAGCTCGTACACATTCAGCCACTGGGCCACTGAATCGAGTCCCAGTGCCGATGATTCCCAAACTAGGATCAAACAGCTGTCCAGTATTCCCTGGTTTTCAATGGTTCTCTAACTGATATCAATCCGCGATCAACTCGTAAAAACAAAACTAATCCTTACAAACTAACCATAGACCGTCTATATAAAATTCATGTATTTGAAGAAACTCTTTATTTAACTTTTCTTTGACCAAGGGTTTCATCAGCTGAGGGTCATATTCTTTCAAAGTTTTGGATTTTAGTTAGTTTGCGAAGTTCATGAATTCTAGATAGAAAATAATATTTAGCCTATTCTCTAAACAATCATAGATGGCCAGATATGACTTAAGGTTGGAAAAATGTTGGTTTGAAGATTCAACATGAGATTTGGTTATTCGAAGGATGTTATTTTGATAAGGCAGGAGTTTAAGTGGTAGTTGTTTCACAAATTGGAGTGAAAGTTCTCTTGTAACCTGATCTTCATCGACTATCTAGGGTATTCTGCCAAGTATAGCTACTATCCGATTCAGGGGCTTAATCCTTTTTATAGGGTGGCGTGTTTTCCAAAACTTGATATACACGGTAATCCTGATAATCATGCATATTAGGAATTTCAGCTTACTGAGATAATTTCAACTTTATGAATTTTAGTTTTCATACATTTGTTCCCCTTAATTAATTTGAATAATGCAACAACTACAGTTTTAGGAGAATAAAATGGTATCATATTTTGTATGATTACTATTGCTCGGAATTGTGTTCAATATTGCATATATATATATATATATATATATATATATACATTAGTGTATGTGTATATTGATCGATTGATTTCTGTTTAAAATGAACTCTGTGTAAGTATGTTAAATTGTTATTGTAGATACATTTAATAATGTTTTTGCCCTGTAAGCAGCTGAAGAGAAGGCAACGAAATAAAATATGGTACCATTTTATTCTGCTAAAACTGTAGTTGTTGCTTTGTTCAAATTTTAGTTTTCCTGAGTTGTTACGCAACTATGTAGGCTAGCAGTGTTTACTATTTGTTTCTGTTATTTGCATTCTCCTGCTCCTCAGTTTCTACGTTTAAACGCACATAAATTGATGGTGACTTCAACTAAAAATTGTGCTGTTTACATTTTCTCTTCCATCATTCCGGCACTAAAGTATGATATTTTCATTCATTTTTCCATAACCACAGCAATTTCAAGTAATCAGTCTTCAGATGATGACAACTTGTGAAACAGAATGATGTCATTCAGTATTGCACATTTAGTCTGTTTGACATCATTGAAATATATCAAGGGAATCACCTGTATGGAGGAAAAACATCCTCCAGACAAAATATCAAACACAGATCAACATACTTCAAATTATTTTTTCTTATGTAACATCTTTCAATCTTGTATAACACAGAGAAAACAATTTTCTTAGATGGATTTCAGGTATTCACTGCAAAAATTAGTTGTTTATATGTGGAGTGATGTTATAGATTGTTGACCTGAAGAACAGTCAACACTAGAAAGTATATATATATATATACATATACATATAGCATCATAAGATATACTAAGATGGATTTTGGTGATCTACCTCGATTGTAACAAAATTCAATAAATGTTTCACTAGTATTTCTGAGAGTAAACAACCAACTCCAGGTGAGTGGAATAACAATAAAGGAAGAAAAATTTGATTATTGACGTACAATACTGATGATGATGACAATAAGACCAATGAGAGCAGAACTAAAGCCTAATGATGGATGGGGGTGACGAAATACAGTAGACAGTGCGTCGGTGGCACAGTGGTTAGGACTCTCGCCGACCATGCACATGGTCCGGGGTTCGATCCCCTGCCGGAGCACACCCGATATCTATTGTCGGCCTGAATTTAGGCTACCGGTTTCTATGCTGAAATTTCCACACTTGTACTGAAAATACGGTGTGGAATCAAGCTGTAAATCAAAATAAATAACAAAATAAAAAAAATAGAAAAGCGTATACTGACTACACACACACACACAATTCGCAAGTCATATCACCGTCCCTTCCGTATCAGGCATTCACTTTTTCTTCGTTACTTTTCTGAGGCATATTGGATTCTTCTCCTCAACATTTTCATCGCTTTCTTTTCGCCTTCCTCCTTCACTGACTTTCCAATTGACATGCCCACTATCGTTGTTTCAAATTGCAGAGTAATGGACAAGTATTCCGACAGGTGCTGGTACTGTTCTGTCTCGCTATCTAGTCTTTTCATACATTTGTCTGAGTCTATAATTTTAAATAGATTCTCCAGAGATTCTTTCCACCACAAATTGACCTTCAGAATTCAAGTTCACTGGAAATATATGAAATAATATTGGTTGAATATAAGAAATTATCTCCATCAACAATAATAGAAGACTAACTCTTGAGTGAAGTCCAAATGTATCACATCAGGCGATGAGAATCCACCAGTCTTCTGAAAGTCTACTAACTGTAACGTTGCATAATGCTTATTCTATACAGAACAGAAAACTGTTCGGACTAATCAATTGGACCATAGTTAAACAGTTTATCATATTCTTGCTCGTTACTCTATTGGGTTCTGAATGGAACATAGGGCCTCAACAGCACATCTCCACTTCATCCTGTCCTCTGCAATTCTTTATAGCTAGCTGTACAGTTGTTCATAAGCTCTCATCCCTTCCTCTCATGATCTCCTTCACGTAATCCTCGAGTCGACGCCCAAATCTTCGTTTCTGATTCGGATTCCACTAGACGGAGCGACATGTAGTGTCACCTGATGGTCTCATCAACGTATGTCCAACCCATCTACATTTCCTCAGACATACATTTTGGGTAGTAAACTGTTGGCTAGTTTGTTGCTCGATTGAGTTCCTTGTTGGCAGTCCTCCTTTCTGGTCGGCTGTGTGATCTTCATTGTTGTGGAAAGTCTGCATTAGCCTGTCGGAAATGCTTTTGGTGGCACGTGCATTATACCTCTGAAACATACGGTAGAAGTGACTGACATTCATGATTTTGCTGGTCTCTTTGCAAGAAATGAGTATCGAAACTGACGAGTAGCTTGTATCGCTTGCAAAGAGTCAACAACAGGAGAAATA